ATGGGAATCAAAACAACTAAGCCTAGTGAACGTGTTTCTACATTGGATATGCCTAGCGCTTTGGGTACTAACAGTGGCAATTATACGTGTACGGCAACAAATAAAGCCGGAACAACGAACCACACTGCGACCCTGAACATCATCGGTACATTGATGTATTTTTCCTGCGTCTAATATGTATCTAATATCCGCGTTGCTTGCTTGTTGTTAAACAAAAACCTTGCATAATCTAGACTCAGTTTTCCATTTTAGCAATGGCATTATTTCCAAAATACCAATGCTTTATTTTTTTAATATAAATAGATCCTAACCTAACAATAGAAAGTAGTCAATGCATCCGAATTAAGCGGCCTAGAATAAACACATCTTGAAAGTATCATTACAGAAATATCTTTCAGCAAATAGGTTTACGACGTTGTTTAATAAAATTTTAACTACAATTTTTTAAGAGATATTTGGTCTAGAAATGATAATAAATACGTATTCATCACTAAATTACTTAGAAATATTCAGTACTACTTCTCTTTTTTAATTCTCAAGTACCCAATTCTAATAAAAATCGTTTTAGGTGGTGACCGAAATATTAATACCATGTAAAATAATAAAATATCACAAAAAAAAAGATATTGCAATAAATTTTTAACTTAATTTACTATTTTCATGTGCATATGTGCAACATGTGACTTCTCTCCAGGTGCAAAGGTATATAGTATGCGGCCATGCATGGCATGACTCAATACTGTTTATTCAAGCCCGGCAAAAGATGTTAAAAACAGTTGTCAGGCCTGCAAAAAGTAAGTCGCAATGATCGTTTCATGTCAGTCTCCTCGATACTTATGTATTGTGACATACCGATATATCGATGTATTGATTTCAGTTTGGGAAAGGGTCCTTAGGTTGATTTGCATAGCTTGTGATCACGAAGTTAACGGCTTTACTTCTTTCAAAGTTGAACGCACAATTGCCCGTTCCCAGCACCGTCCTGATAGAATCATTAGAGTCACAAGTAACTAGTGATTCTGTTGAATGTTTGAATTGATTAAAATCAGTTGAAGCATTTAACATTTTACATTACGTAAAAGGCAAATTCAATAGGAAAATTTGGACATGGGAGGATATGGAACTTACAACAAGACACATCTTATTTGTGAATGAGGCTGGTCGTTGTTCGCCATAAATTAACATATTGTATTTATGAGACACGTAGTAAGCAACAATATTTATACGGCTATTTTAATATTTTTAAATTAAGCTCTACACTTTATTAATATTTATAACTTTAAATGTTATCTTCATTAAATAACTTCTAGAAAAAGCCAGAAAATTCAAATCAATAAGTGATAATAATTTTACAACATTATTAACATAAGTTGAATTATATTTTATATAGTTACCCCACAAATAATGCCATTCGATTTTGGCACGGAGCCAGTCAACGATCAAGAAATGGTAGTAGTTATCTGCACGGCTAGCAAAGGCGATTCGCCGTTCGATATACAATGGCATTTTAATGGACAAGTCATTAAATCTGGCGTCAATGGCATTGTGCTCTCGAACACAAAACGAACCAGTCAACTGACTATAGAGTCAGTCAGTCATCATAACCAGGGAAACTACACGTGTCTTGTAAAAAATCAAGCCGGTGCTGTAAACCATACTGCCGAACTCTATGTAAACGGTACACGTTTCTTACTATTTTGTATTTCTATTTTATTTGTTCATCTCTCCTGCAGTCCCTCCGCAAATTAATTCCTTCGAATTCAGCGAAGAACCCGTAAATGCCCAAGAAATGGTTTTGGTTACGTGCACTGTAAGTAAAGGTGATCAGCCGTTAGACATAGAATGGTATTTCAACGAGAAAAAAGTACAATCTGGTGCTCTTGGCATAAATCTTTTCAATACGAAACGCACAAGTCAACTCAGCATTGAATCTGTAAACCATCAAAACCAAGGCAATTACACGTGTGTTGTAAAAAACCAGGCAGGCTCAGTGAACCACACAGCTCAACTATTTGTAAACGGTACACACTTAAAAAATTCTTCGAATTATATTCAAAGTAGAATGTGTGTATGTATTTTAAGTCCTTTAATTTATCCTACCTTTGTCCCAAAAACAACAATATACGTACTTAGCATTTAACATCTACTTATTTTTGCGTAAAGCGTGTTTTTTTTTTTTCAAGCGATCATGAATTACTTTACATCAAAAACATGGCAATAGATTATCAAAATAGGTACTAGGTATTTGCACTGGTTGTAATCCATGTAAAATAAAGAGCTCAATTATTATAAAGGATTGTATTTGTTTAATCTCGCAGAGCTTAAAATGTAGTTTTACATCTAAAAGTCTCAATCTTCGAAGTGTTATAAAGTGAGTTTTTAGAAAACTATTTTTTTTTTCAAAATGAAAATTATTAATGACCGATTTTTGCAGTGGCTCCAATGATATCTCCTTTTGAAATTGATCAAGCGGTATTTTACGGAGAGAGTATACAAGTTCTGTGCCATGTTACGAAAGGAGATATGCCCTTGTCCCTTAAATGGTTCTTTCGTGATCGACCCGTGGAAAACTTTGAAGGAGTAAAAGTATCTAAAGTAGGGGACAGGTCTTCAATATTGGCTATCCCATCAGTCACTGAAAGACATTCTGGCAATTATACTTGCACAGCTTCTAATACCGTAGCAAGCGCTAACCACACAGCTACATTGAATGTTCAGGGTACACATAATATTCTGTGGTATTGAGTACTGTAATTGTTTTTTTTTTTGTTTATGTTTTTACTTTCTCCTACTAGTATCACCACACATTGTCCCGTTTATGGCCGAGAAACCAATATTTGAAGAAGAATGAATGCTATTAACAGATCACATATCGAAAGGCCTTGCACCTTTCCCTATCGCGTGGAGTCTCCGAAACAAAGATTGGCGAAGGAACCTCTGTGCTAACAATTTACATTTTTAACTCGAGCTCTATGGTTTTGTAATAATTATGGATAATTCGATCAATTTATAAAAAACTTATTAACGTTTTATTCAATTTGGGCTTGTTTACACCTCTTATGATGGTCAAAATGTCTACACTGTCATACACATTGTATCCTTCGTCACAGGGTATCCTCCTTAATCCTAAATGTCCTTAGCCTACGCATAGATTCGCTGCACTCTTGCATAAATAATTTGGGTTTTCTAAATTAACAGTACTGCCATACATCGTACCCTTTGAGGCGGATGAGTCTGTGTTTGCTGGGGAAACCGTTCAACTCAATTGTCACGTCTCCAAGGGTGACCTGCCTCTTGATATCAAGTGGCACTTCCATAGTTTTGAAAATACGACATCGCATCTGGGAATAATGACAACTAAAATGACTTCGCGTACCTCATTTCTTTCTATCGCCGCGGCAACCGCCAGCCATAGTGGCAACTATACCTGCGTAGCTACAAACAGTGCTGGCTCAACTAATCATTCCACTGTCCTAAACGTTCATGGTCAGTTTCTTTTACTCATGCTTCAAAAAAAGTGTTATCTTGAGCTGTTTATTGCAAACAATATGTTAATTGAATCAGCATGAGTTCGTTAACATATCTGTAAGCAGCATATCCCTGTTTAGTTTGTTATTCTGTTAATTTTTATTTATTCCTTTCATGTCATTTTGTTGGATTAACACAGCTACACGGACAAAATTATCACGGGTATTAGGAACTTTCTCCAAAGTGGGCGAAAAATAATAATAATTTGTGTTGGTGTTAAAAATCGCGTGGGAATTACGTCTTACACTTCTTTACCGAAAGTAATCACTATTCAACAAAATTTACTTAATTTGTATATTTTTCACATTTTTAAATCTATACTTTTTTCTGCTCCGTTTTAAGTGGTTCCATATATTATCCCGTTCGAAGTTGAAGAGTCCATCTTTGCTGGCGAGTCAATACATCTAACTTGTCATGTATCAAAAGGAGACCGTCCACTTCAAATATCGTGGAGTTTTCAGGGACAGGAAATACCTTACCATAATAATATGGGCATAACTACAACGAAGTTAGGAGAAAAAGCGTCTGTCCTTAGTGTGCCCACGGCAATGGGGCAACACAGTGGCAACTACACGTGTACCGCAAGTAATCGTGCCGGGCGCGCACATCACTCTGTAATCGTCAATATTCATGGTTCGACGGTGTTCCCTTCTATATTCGAGATTACTTTTTGTATAGTACAATGAATGTCATAGAGTATGCACGTTTAGATTTATTCTTAGATTCTCTTTTTTCTTATTTAATCAGTTCCTCCCCACATAATGCCATTCGAAATCGAAGAGTCCGTATTTTATGGCGAATCGGTACAAATGACTTGCCATGTCAGCAAAGGAGATCGTCCGCTTGTAATAACGTGGACATTTGAAGGTCAAGATTTATCCAACCATGCCGGTATCAAGACAATAAAAATGGCAGAACAGACATCCTTTTTGTCGATTGACTCCATTACCGGAGGTCACAGTGGCAATTACACTTGCATTGCGAAAAACAGGGCAGGGGAAGACAGATATTCTACTTCTCTTCACGTAAATGGTATCTTTGATTAAATATTCCAGCATGCAATAAATTATATACATTACTAATATTCGCAAATTTTCTTTGCCTAGTCGTTCCCCACATCAAACCATTTGAGTTGGACGAGGCTGTGTTTGCGGGAGAGTCTGTACATCTTGACTGTCATGTGTCCAAAGGTGACATTCCATTGAACATAATATGGAGCTTCCAAGGCAAACCCGTGACACGTGGAATGGGTGTGAAGACTATGATGCTCAGTGATCGCGTTTCTATACTAGACATTTCAAGCGCAATGGACTCTAACAGTGGCAACTACACATGCACAGCGACCAACAAAGCTGGCACAGCAAACCATACGGCCGTCCTTAACGTGATCGGTATAAAACCTATTGACCCGCGTGACGCTTGCTTTCTGTTTAGTTCCTCCTGTGGTCCAACCCTTCACGTTCGGGGAAGTTATGAATTCCGGCCAAGTCGTAACCACTCCGTGTTCGGTCATCGAGGGGGATCACCCGCTACATCTACGGTGGCTTTTTGACGACGAACCTATAAAACCAAGGTCCGGAGTCACCGTTTTTAATATCGGAGAAAGAAGCGCTATCCTTAGTATTGGTTCCGTGTCAGACAAGCACGCCGGAAACTACACTTGCGTAGCAGAGAATGAAGCGGGAACACATTCGCACACTTCAACTTTAATCATTAATGGTGCTTAATATCGCGATTTTGTATAGTTTTTCAATTTCTTTTATCAATTTTAGTATCATGTTATGTACATTTTTAATTGTTTTATATGTCGATAAAAGCCCATCAGACTAATAAATTCCAGTCCCTCCAAACATTCTGCCGTTCACTTTCGGCGAAAAGCCTGCCAATGTCGGAGAATACTTACAAGCGGCGTGTACCATAAATTTTGGAGATCTTCCTCTTACTATCACCTGGATGTTTAATGGACAAATTATATCGCTAAGAAATACGGATTATACTATGACCAATTCTAAGCGAAGTAGTTTACTAATAATCGAGTCTGTTGACGCAAAACATGCTGGTTCCTATACATGCATCGGTGAAAATCGCGCGGGCCGAACTACCCATTCTGCTGACTTAATTGTTTACGGTTAGTTATTACTTTAGTCTCGCCTGTTTTTTTGGTCATTTAGATAACATGTTTTAGTTATTCCCACGATAAAACCTTTTTGCCACCGAACAAAAACATTTGTAGGAAACCTTAAAAATTTAAGTAACTAAATAAGTCTTCCGCGGTTGCGGCCTCGTGAAAGTAGAGTAGTATTAAGTTAAAGTTAGTCCATATACGCCTCTCTATACTACTCCCATTTAATCTCTTCTCGTGAAAGTATATAAAACTTGATTATTTTTGCAATATATTTTATCTTTACATATGTGATTTATTAAAGTAACACAATGTCGGTACTTCGGGCGAAAAATATTACATTTAGGCTTAAATGACCTATTGACGGCTCCTCAGCTCTTAATTACGTAACGCACATAATTTTTTTCTTGTCCTAGTTCCACCATTGATAGCGCCATTCAGTTTCGGAGAGGTGCCTTCTAATCCCGGAGACGCCGTCGTTGTTAACTGTGTTGCTACTAAAGGAGACCTACCATTAGAAATATCTTGGACATTTAGCAGTGAAACAATAGAGTCGAGTCTGCATCGCGGCATCACTACGATGCCGCTAGGTCCACGAGCGTCAGTCCTTACAATCAACTCCCTGACTGCCAACCATCAAGGAAACTACACGTGTATCGTGCAAAACGCCGCTGGTCGCGCCGAGTACGCGGCAACACTCGTCGTAAATGGCACGTTTATTGAATATGTTAGAACGAATTAACAACATTGGGGACACACTTGAAAAAATTTAATCTGTTCAAATTCACTGCTCTTTCCTTCATCTACCCTCACTAGCACTAGCTAACATCACTTAACAGCGATCGATTTAACATTGTCATCTCTAATTGTTTCCAGTACTGCCTCGTATAGTTCCATTTACATTTGAGACTCCACTGTACGCGGGGCAGGCGAGTCAGGTTACTTGTCTTGTTTCGGAAGGCGATCAGCCTCTAGACATTCAGTGGTATTTCGATGGGCGTCCTTTGAAAGAAAAAGCCGATGTAACGGCAACTAAAATTGCGCAAAGAGCTTCGCTGCTCCTCATCGACCCTGCTGGGTGGTCGCACAGCGGTTCTTACATGTGTCTTGCGCGCAATGCCGCCGGCTTCTCCAATTATTCCGCTTCATTAGAAGTACATGGTATAAACACCCTTGTACCCTTTATTCCTAGCACGGAAAAGCTTTGCATAGTTTCCATATTGTGTGCTTAAGTCGCGAAACTTTAGCTCTCCGTTAATACAAAATTAAGATATATTTTAGCATCATTTTTCAAATAATATATATATAGGAACCGGCTGCGGCTATAATCGACGAAACCATTTCTTCTCCCTCCTTGCATTTTAACGTCCAATGCCTTACCGTTTCCTTTGGTTCCCGTCTGTTAATTTGTTTATTTTCGTTATGCACCTTTTGCTTTGGGTTTTGCATGTTGCTCGCCTTCTGACTTTGCTGTTGGAATAATAATGTATTTCAGTAAGACGTGGAAATAATTAATATATCGAAGTTATTATTTCAACAAATTGTTATGATAACAGTTTTGTTTGCATTCATGCTTTTTTATTTTTTTATGTCCCATTAATTTTGTTTTTGTTGGGTTTCACTGGCTTCAAACATTTTTTTTGCTATTAAATTATATTAATAAAAAGCTTCTATAGCGACAGCTTTAGCCAAATTTGTAAATAATATATGTACGTTCACATTTGAATCTTTATAGAATTATATAAAACGTAACTATATCCCTACGTTATAGGAGCTTTTTTGTCTAGAGCTGAACTAGAATTGAAATGCCATATCGATGTTATTGTTATTCACTTACCCCTAGCAGTCAAAGCACAGTTCTAGAAAATCTCCACATTAGGATTAGTTGTATTCACTATTTTTATTACACATTTTACCAGGATCACGACAAAGCAATTTAAATTCTAGTTCGGCCTCCTGATAAATGTGTTTTAATACTATTTAAAAACAATATTGATCACTTAAAGATTAAATTAAACTTTTTGACCACATGTTCCAATCACACCTGAAGTTGATTAATTAATATTTGGTGGCAGGCGTCGTCACTGTTATATAATGCTCTTGAAACAAACAAACAAACAACTCAAAAACAAACTCAAACAAACAAATTGTATTCATCAAAAAGAAGAGTTTAATAAATAATAATATTTTTCGTACAACGCCTGTCATGAAATTTCCTTTAAAATTTAAATTAGTATTGCCTTCATTTAAAGACACATAATTTGTAAATTTGTGGCATTAATTGTTATTAAAATTCAAGAAATAGAGTTTCCCTTATACGCTTTAAAGACCGTGACAAAATGCTAATATATTTGGTAATATTTTAGTTCCTCCACGTTGGATTCTTGAACCCACTGATAAAGCTTTTGCCCAAGGCTCTGATGCTAAAGTAGAATGTAAAGCCGATGGCTTCCCTAAGCCCCAAGTGACGTGGAAGAGGGCTGAAGGTATGTATAAATATGTATCATGATAATTGAAAGATATTTCTTTTATATACTGAATACAAGAAAATAAGAATAAAATTACTTCTAGGTGACACGCCTGGCGATTACAAAGATCTTAAACCCAATAATCCTAATGTGAAAGTTGAAGATGGAACATTAACTATTAATAATATCCAAAAGACTAACGAAGGATACTATCTCTGCGAAGCTGTTAATGGAATTGGATCTGGTTTATCTGCCGTGATTCTCATCAGTGTACAGGGTAAATATCAAATAAACTTTATAGTTATAATAAAATCTTAATTTATATTCAATGAAAATATAAAATCTACAGCACCACCGCAATTCGAAATTAAAATGAGAAATCAGACCGCACGCCGAAGTGAGCCAGCCGTACTGCAGTGCCAAGCTAAGGGCGAAAAGGTATTATACAACTTTTCGCACGTGCTTTTATAATTTAATTGTTTATATACTAATAATTAATATTATTTCAAATATACAGCCTATTGGAATTATCTGGAACATGAACAATAAGCGCCTTGAACCGAAATCGGACCCCCGTTATACAATCCGTGAAGAGATTTTGCCCGGAGGTGTAGTTTCTGACCTAAGCATCAGACGGACTGAACGTTCTGATAGCGCCCTGTTTACTTGTGTTGCGACCAATGCTTTCGGATCTGACGACACTAGCATCAATATGATTATCCAAGGTAATTTATATATCTATAAATCTATACATAAATATAAATATAATTGACGTGTCTCGGGCTTATTTGCACGCTATTTACACATGAATAACAATTTTTAAATGTTTTATTTCTGTATGTCCGTCCGGGCTAATCCTAGGATTGACTGAACGGTTTGTGATAAAATTTCACGAACATATAAAGAGAAAAGCAATGCCAGGAGTAATAAAATATATATTTGATCCGAAAAACATGAAGAAGAAGAATATTTTAGTAAAATCGAAAACCTGACAAAATGTTAATGTTTATTGTGATATAATAAAAGTTTTAAACAAAAATTTTTTGGTTTACAAATTCACGCAAGAAAGGTTCTTCACACTTTATCTTTTATCATTTGTAGTTTTGAATACCAGCGTAAAATAGCAGCTTAACACTGCTGTGTTTCGTATGGTGAGTGTAGAGAACCGGAGACCCTTTTTACTGGAAACGAGGCATTCCATCTTAGTCCTCACGGGTGACAACGCAGCTGCATTTTGATTCTTTATTGAGGATAGATGTAGATATCTATGGGTCACAGCAACCACTTACCATCAGGTGGACTGTGTCCTCGTTTGTAACCCTATTCTATAAAAAAAAGATGCAAAATCTAGTTATATCACAAAAAAATTGACTTTATTTTGAAGTGATGAGAGAATATCAAAGCGATGAAATTGAGAATATCATACCAATGTATTGCTCTGTTTTTGTCCTAGATAATAATGCTAAAGCAAATATATTTTTACAATACGATCTATATTCTACCAATAGCATGTTTCTGTTTCGGTTTTTCCTTTTTAAGATTATATCGCCGTTATCAGGCATCCAACAAATAGATTTAACGCACATAAAAATAAATAAAAATGTAAAAGACACCGCCAGCATTACTTGTATTTTTTCTAGAACAAATATTCAAATCGATCCAGTTCTGAAGGAGGAATCAGGGAAATTTGCCATGATGTATAATCAGTACGAGCTACAGACTTCTCTCTGGGATGCCTAGCTGAGTCGTTCGGACAAGGCGCGACAGCAATAGATACAAATTTTAGTTTCAAATTTCTTTCAGCCCGAATATCCTCAGACATGATGGCAAAAATACTGATTTTAAAGTGTTTTTTTTTCATAATTGAACTACTTCCCCCAAAACCACACTTTTAGTTCTTCAAGTTTTTTTAAAAATAATTTAAAATTAAAAATTTTGTACAGCCGACTTCAATATAAGTTATTTAAGAATAACTTAAATACTATTGGTCTGACCTTGATCAAATTCATATGGGACCACACGAGAAGTACCAGCTTTCAAATAAAAAAAGAATCATCGAAATCGGTTCACCCAGAAAAAAGTTCTGAGGTAACACACATAAAAAAAAAAAAAACGAAAAAAAAAAAAAACATACAGTCGAATTGAGTACCGGCTCCTTTTTGGAAGTCGGCAGAAAAGTAATTTATTTTTAATTCAAATTAATATGTGCTACGGATTCTAACGCGTTTAATTGACTTATTTTTTATTGATTCCCAACGTTTCGGGTACTTTGCAGAACCCATGGTCACGGGGGACAGGTGATTGACGTCCCGATGTCAGAGTTAACCCGGAGTACCTTCAGATTTTTTAATTATTAATTTAGTTAAATTAAATCACCTCAGTCCCCCGTGACCATGGGTGCTGTAAAATACCCGAAACGTCGGGAATCAATAAAAAATAAGTTAATTAAACGCGATAGATTCCGTAAAAGTAGTTTTATTCAACGTGTGGTGTTCGCGTAAATATAAGAAATCATGTGCAGAAACCTTAATTCTTCTCCAAATAACTCTTATTTTTTATATTTTCAGAGGTACCTGAAGCACCATATGGCCTTAAAGTTCTTGACAAATCTGGCAGGACTGTTCAACTGTCCTGGGCTGCGCCATATGACGGAAACTCGCCAATCAAAAAGTTCCTTATTGAATATAAACGAGCTAAGGGCAACTGGGAAAAGGATATCGACAGGTATTTACACTTTTTGTACGCTCTTTTCTATTTAAACTAGACGAAATTCAAAACAGATTTTAATAGGATCTTTAAAGGCTCTTTTCACACTTGTCTATAGTGGTGTAAGCTAGAGCTAATTACGTTAGTCTTCAGAAGGCGATAGTGTGCGCTGGACGAATATTGAGTGCACTCCTTAGCCTTTAGTTTCAGTAATCAATTACTGAATTGAATCTTAATCTCCTCGTAATTACGACAAGGACCGACAGTGAAATATATATTAGCCGTAATTAATTCGAATGATATTTGTTTTAGATTACCCTCACCCTCAGTAAATGAAGTATATATTTCAAAAAAATATATTATTGTTTTCTGTTAAATTAAAATAATATTTAGTAGAAAGGCCATAAAGTTACAAACTAATTGTTATTGCAGAGTGCTTGTACCTGGCGATGCCACCGAAGCCGGTGTATTTAGCCTCCGCCCTGCCACCGCCTACCACATCAGGATCGTCGCCGAGAACGAACTTGGCACCTCTGAGCCATCTGAAACAGTCACTATCATTACCGCCGAAGAAGCACCCACTGGCATGCCTCAGGATGTCAAAGTTGACGCTGTTGACAAACACACACTAAGAGTTACATGGAAACCACCTCAACCACAGGACTGGAATGGCGAACTCCAAGGGTACGATTTTCTTAAGCAATGATTTTGACAAATTAACATTTTATCTCATTCGCTGTCCCGTTTATTACATATAGTTCATTGCTAGTGTATTACTATTGTATCTGAAAATCGGACAGTGAAAGTGTTGAGACACTAACAATAAGGTTGAATAAGCATGGCTGTGTAAGTTCGTCGTAAGAGAATATCGCCCCATATCGTCACGTATCTCATTTCTATTAGATGACGTTATAATCGTCTGAGATCTTACCAGGTGTAAAATGATCTAACCGATAATGGGGGCAACGTCAAAGGTGCAAGCCGACTTAAGGGGGGGGGGGGGGGGAGTACCAACAAGGGCTCCGGCGCTTCACCACTTAATTAAATTTTAATAACTATCTCTATCAATCTAAAGACAAAATATATTCAGAGTAGGTATTAACTTTTACGAACTTACCTCGTCAGTTTCATGACGTGAAATGGTAACTCGTATTAGATCTTCTGTATTATACTATATTTTCTTCGCTTTCTATATATTGTTAAGTGTATAAGAAAATTAAAAAATAAAAGCCATTCCGCAACCGAAATGGGAGTAGATTTCTTATTATTTATTTTGGAGGAAAGTGTGAGAGTGATATCGAAAGAAGAGTGAATGCAGGAAACATGGTGAATGGAGTTTTGCACTCCTTTAGGAGCAGTCGGGAGGCTTCAAACAAGTATCGTTTGGCTGTGCATGAGGGGAGTGTTGGTTCCGATACTCATGTACGGTAGTGAAAGTTGGTTATGGCTAAGAAGTATGATAGAAGTTAAACTGAGTGACAGGATAAGAAGTAGTGAGATAAGGAAACGTTGTGGTCTGAAGGAAGATGTAGTGACAAAAATTGAGAAAGGTATGCTGAGATGGTTTGGCCATGTCGAGAGAATGAATAAAGAACGATTGACGAAAAATGTGTATAAGGCGAGTGTGAATGAAAGTGTTGGAAGGGGGAGACCTAGGCGGACGTTTCTAGACCAAATCAGGGACGTCTTGAAAAAAGGCCAGGTCAAGAGTACCCTAAACCGAAGAGCATGTATGAAGAGAATAATGAAAGTGGACGAAGCGAAACAAGTATGTAGGGATTGTAGCAAGTGGAAATAAGTGGTCTTTGCCTACCCCTACGGGAAAGAGGCGTGATTATATGTTTGTATGTATTTTCGATCTATCAAATTCTATAAAAAATAAAAAGTAAAGAATCACATATATCTCACCTGTAATTTAGGTTTAGAAACACAAATCATGGTGAAAACTGCTTAAAATACCAATAATTGTACAGTCTATCTCTAGTACTTTTATTAGTTTGTGGTCTATCCTACATTGTTTAGATAAAGGATATATAAAATATGTAATTATTAATAGTTATAAATATATGTTTGTAGTTGCCTACTAACTATAAAAAATATTGTATCTACAAAATTCAAAAAAAGATTTTAATTATAATCATACTAGCGACGCGCCCATGGCTTCGGCCGCGTATTCAGCATAACATAATTTACCCAATATCGTTAAAAATTATAGCCTATGTGTTGTTCTGATTTATAAGCTATATTACTGTAAAGTTTCATCAAAATCCGTTTGGTAGGTTTTGCGTGGGAGAGTAACAAACATCCATCCATGCATCCTTAACATACCTTACAAACTTTCACGGTTATAACCACGGAGCAAATATAAAGAGGAGACGGTCTAAGCAACTGTGCACTGTCATTCTAACTAGGTCCTGACGTCATCACAGTGGGCGTGGCTTTAGTTAGTATACTGTCAGCGTTCAGCCTAAAGAATTTTTAATCGCCACAATATTATTTTTGCAGTTTTTATAATCATTTTGTAAACAGACCGCCATCTATCGTCAAGGTAGCTAAACTACATTGCAACATGGATATGGAGCGATGCGAGTAGTTTTACTATTTATCGGTAGATGGAAAATAGTTTAGTGGCCGGGGCTTAACACCCCCTCACCCCGCAAATTGCCATGCGTTGTTACATAGTGAAATTTAATTACAACACCTCCTCTTTGTATTTGCTCCGTGTTTATAACATTAGTAGGATATAAAAGGGCGCCAAAGGAATCATTCGCCCAGGGCGCTTAAATGTTTAGAGCGGGCCCTGGCGAGACGTCTGTTGGTGCAATGGTCACCCGTTTGCTAATCGTGACAATTTAGACAAATCCTCCCTACAGCTGGAGCGGACCATAACCAGCTAAAGAGTTTTAGGGCTGATAAAGAAATAATGAAGTTCAAATAATAATAATTGAAGAAGTTAAAAAAGCTTCTGCTGAATACTAAAGCAACATTATTTTTCTGATAAATTCTTTATATTTTTGCAGATACTATGTTGGCTACAAACTGGCTTCGAGCAACAAATCCTTCGTATTTGAAACTGTCGATATTTCTAAGGAATCTGGAAAAGAACATCACCTTGACATTTTGAATCTGAAGTAAGTTTCAAATATTAAGTTTTAGTCTCAAATTAAATTTTTTCAATTTATTTTGCATAGCAGATTATTGATTTAAAGCAAATGGTGTAAAATTCAAATCACCTTAATGATCAAATTCTATAATTTAAATATCTATTTATATTTAGTACTTTTTTAGCTACTTCCGGCCTCTAATTTCCCACAAAATTACTGACAAATTCATAGCGATATGCCTGCGATATAATTGTTATAATTTGATAAGGTATCTCAATATATCTGTAGTATCCCCACGGGCCATTATATGTTATTATTTAGTAAATTTATTTTGTTCTCTGGATCCTCCAACAAATTATAGGCACGCAATTTAGTTATCAAGAATGCTATTTCTATAGGCTTAACATCAACCAACAATTTTTTATGCTTCACTTGTTAAGTTCAAACTTACTTCATTTTGTTGACCTTTATATTTTAACGAAGTAAAAAATTCTGATCGAAGTTTTTCGCAATCCGATTAGGACGTATAATAACGTCTCCAGAGTGAACTTCGGTCACGGCGGCCAGTCTTCAACGGAGACTAGCCATCGGCGCAGGATAGGATTATAGTGTCCAAGTGTATGCGGAAGGATTGGTCTCTATTTCCTCCTTCTCATAGTTCGACGAAACAGTCATTTGACACGACCGACACGGGCCAACGTCTTAACCTGCTTTTTCAGGCATAAGGGTGAAATCTGACTCCGGGCTACTATTGAAAATTTCTAGACAGAAAAACTCTAAAACTGATGTTAGGTCGACCGATTCGAACCCAGATTCGGGACCTTATGATCAGCAATCGCGTTTACGACCACTAGACCAACGAGGCATTAGAAAGTGCACATGTGTTTGTGTGCTGGGCAGATGGCTAATCTCCGTTGAAACTTGCCGCCGTGACCGACTTCCGGTGCGGAGGAAAATATTATTATGAATGAATGTAGTAATGAGTGTGTATCGAATGTGTGCTTAGGACGTACACACAGTACGCCATCGTGGTGCAGGCGTTCAACAAGGTGGGGTCAGGGCCGGTGTCGGGCGAAGTGCGCGCGTACACGGCAGAGGGCGCGCCCACAGCGCCGCCGCAGGACGTGCTGTGCACCACGCTCACCGCGCAGACCATCCGCGTCTCCTGGCTGTCCCCGCCGCTCGCCGCCGCCAACGGTCTCATCAAGGGCTACAAGGTCATCTACGGGCCCAGCGACACCTGGTACGGTGAGTACTGCACCACGCTCACCGCGCAGACCATCCGCGTCTCCTGGCTGTCCCCGCCGCTCGCCGCCGCCAACGGTCTCATCAAGGGCTACAAGGTCATCTACGGGCCCAGCGACACCTGGTACGGTGAGTACTGCACCACGCTCACCGCGCAGACCATCCGCGTCTCCTGGCTGTCCCCGCCGCTCGCCGCCGCCAACGGTCTCATCAAGGGCTACAAGGTCATCTACGGGCCCAGCGACACCTGGTACGGTGAGTACTGCACCACGCTCACCGCGCAGACCATCCGCGTCTCCTGGCTGTCCCCGCCGCTCGCCGCCGCCAACGGTCTCATCAAGGGCTACAAGGTCATCTACGGGCCCAGCGACACCTGGTACGGTGAGTACTGCACCACGCTCACCGCGCAGACCATCCGCGTCTCCTGGCTGTCCCCGCCGCTCGCCGCCGCCAACGGTCTCATCAAGGGCTACAAGGTCATCTACGGGCCCAGCGACACCTGGTACGGTGAGTACTGCACCACGCTCACCGCGCAGACCATCCGCGTCTCCTGGCTGTCCCCGCCGCTCGCCGCCGCCAACGGTCTCATCAAGGGCTACAAGGTCATCTACGGGCCCAGCGACACCTGGTACGGTGAGTACTGCACCACGCTCACCGCGCAGACCATCCGCGTCTCCTGGCTGTCCCCGCCGCTCGCCGCCGCCAACGGTCTCATCAAGGGCTACAAGGTCATCTACGGGCCCAGCGACACCTGGTACGGTGAGTACTGCACCACGCTCACCGCGCAGACCATCCGCGTCTCCTGGCTGTCCCCGCCGCTCGCCGCCGCCAACGGTCTCATCAAGGGCTACAAGGTCATCTACGGGCCCAGCGACACCTGGTACGGTGAGTACTGCACCACGCTCACCGCGCAGACCATCCGCGTCTCCTGGCTGTCCCCGCCGCTCGCCGCCGCCAACGGTCTCATCAAGGGCTACAAGGTCATCTACGGGCCCAGCGACACCTGGTACGGTGAGTACTGCACCACGCTCACCGCGCAGACCATCCGCGTCTCCTGGCTGTCCCCGCCGCTCGCCGCCGCCAACGGTCTCATCAAGGGCTACAAGGTCATCTACGGGCCCAGCGACACCTGGTACGGTGAGTACTGCACCACGCTCACCGCGCAGACCATCCGCGTCTCCTGGCTGTCCCCGCCGCTCGCCGCCGCCAACGGTCTCATCAAGGGCTACAAGGTCATCTACGGGCCCAGCGACACCTGGTACAGTGAGTACTGCACCACGCTCACCGCGCAGACCATCCGCGTCTCCTGGCTGTCCCCGCCGCTCGCCGCCGCCAACGGTCTCATCAAGGGCTACAAGGTCATCTACGGGCCCAGCGACACCTGGTACGGTGAGTACTGCACCACGCGGTGAGTACCAACGGAACCGGCTAAACTCACAGCTTATGAACTTACAGCGACGAAGTGTTTGCCGCGCTCGAAATATTTTTTTTATTTCTCAGACACGCAGGTTTCCTCACGATGTTTTCCTTCACCGCCGAACAATATGCACGTAATTAATAATTTTGGTGTCAGTGGGGATCGAAGCCAGATTGCTCGCGTATTGTAAAATTAATAAATCGAACTGATGGAGAAGGAACGCGCCTAAGGTGCGCCAGCATTGCTATTATAGAATTTCTTTTTAATTTTAAAAGAAACACCCTGAAATTAAACACCAACGACACTTTTTGATGAAAAACATGAAAATCTCTATCTTGTTATCTATATTCTCTATCTATTTATTGCTATAATATTTTTCCTATAGATGAAAAGTCAAAGGACACGAAGATCACGGCTAGCAGCGAGACTATTCTCCACGGATTGAAGAAGTTCACCAACTACTCGATGGAAGTACTTGCTACCACCAACGGAGGCGACGGCGTACGCTCAGCTCCTATCCACTGCCAGACTGAACAAGACGGTAAGAATTCAATATTTTTGCTGATATTTAGTACACATTGAAGAAGAAAAATTTTGCTTTGACATTAAATAAGTTTGAAATCTAATTGCTATGAATATTTAGCTTCTATCTTTCATTCAACTTTACATTTCAAATATAAAATTTTAATGAGAAATTCTTATGATTACTATGTAATTGTATTCTCAAAAGCGTGCGTTCGAATTTTTACATTTAGGTAATATTTTACTTTGTAGGTTTAGATAGGTGTCTTATATTGGTGAAATATATCACATGTACATGAACACATCTTAAAGTTAATTACTTATTTATAGTTCCTGAAGCTCCGCGTGCCGTAAAAGCTGTAGTGATGGGACCTGACTCTATTCTCGTCTCTTGGAGGCCTCCAGCGCACCCTAACGGTGTTGTCACTCACTACAATGTCTACACGCAAGCCCAGAACACTGAACCCCATCCTAATAAGGTAACAGATTTCGGAATGGCAAACACCTTGACCATAAACTTATATGGTCTCATTACAAAACGTTGTTTATTGATAGTCTCGATAAACTATGGTTAAAGTGGGATCACGGAAAAAGTCGCTCAACCGCGTCACCACAGACTGCGAAATTTGATATTTTAATATATAATTTTAATTCCATACTTTAACATTTTATTTCGGATATTTTTCACGGGACTTTTATATTGAAACAGACTAGTTTAAAAATGAGACTAACTATAAACTACTTTTTGTAATAAGGCGGATAAAATATATTAAATATATTATCCACGTGAGACTCTTCATCCATTGTCCTCTTCCTTCATCCTGCATTAAAATCATTATACAGTCCAGAGTGACGGGATGTGGACTACGAGTCTATTAGTGGCCGAAGTTGAAGATTAGAAGATACCTACATGTAGGCTGTATATTCGCTGATACTTAATTTTTTTTTACTTTTTATGCAATTTTCAGACATTACCACTGATACATTCTTAGGAATGACTATCATTTACAACATTTCAAAGGCTTACTTTACACAAAATTCAATGTCAGTGCAAGCAAAGTCGTGGTCGGAGTTTTTTTAGTTCAGTTATAACAACGTGATAAGCAAAAAATTTTAACCAGGTACCGGCTTCCCAAACAAGCTACTCGGCTACTGAACTGAAACCTGGCCGCTATGACTTTTGGGTCACAGCTTCCACCATTATCGGCGAAGGACAACCCTCAGCTACTGCCTCTTGCAGCCCCAATGACAAAGGTCAGGAAATTAATTAACATAGTTGAAAATAATCAATATTCAATTAAATAAATTTATTTGAAGATTGTTATATCTAAATATTTTCGCATTTCAAAGAGAATTCATTGCATTTGTAAAGGATTTTGCTAAAAATTATATGAAGCTACTACGATCGAGATTATTACGTCAATTTAAATGCTATTCTAAAAAAAAATATGTTGCAAGCCAATTTTACAACAATTGTGTTAAAATTAGCTTTATTATATCTTTATTAGCTTCGAAATAAGAAAAGTATGTATTCTTCTATATATATGTATGTATTTAAAATCTTTTTAAGAGGATATCCGGGCGGTGTTACGTTAGTCCCATACAAACGTATTTCTCTGTTTTCCCCCTAGATAATGTCGCTAGTTAAAGTTGTTAAAAGTTAATTTGCTACTATCCGCGTAATAAATAAAATTATGTGTCTTACCTAGATTGAAGAGCACCTCGTGCCCTCCCTCAATCGTGTGCACTGTCCCCGTCAACACTAACGCTAGCACCACTACTCCCAACGCCACTACACTAGGAAAGACACACCACCGTCGATAATACGACACGTGTTTCGCCCCTACACAATCCGTCGCACGACTACAGTGCGACAGCAATAGATCGTTAGGAAACTGTTTATTAAATTTCTTGCAGCCCAGATATCCTCTTAACGGTATAATTATTTTTCAACAACGCATTATTATGCCTAAAAACCATGAAGAGTAAATGTTGACACAACACTTTCTGTACTTATAAAAAAGTTACTTTAATTTTTGTTGAAATGTGCAATTGCAGTTCCCGCTAAGATTGCTTCATTTGATGAATCGTTCACTGCCACTTATAAGGAAGACGTGAAACTGCCCTGTCTCGCTGTCGGTGTCCCCGCTCCTAATATTGTGTGGAAGGTAACCAGAAAAAGCTTGTAACATATGAATCAAATGTATAAATATATATATGTATAAATATATGTACTACTCATACTGACAGTATTTCATACGTTAATTAACAAAAGTCAAAGACCATACATAATACGTCAGCCGTCATAAGCCTCAGACCAACAAAAAAGATAGACGGAGCACTGTGTACATATTAAAATGTACCGAAACCAAGTCAAAACCATGTTCACCGTATTGTAAGAGCATGCATTCATACACATATATGCCCCTAAAATCCTTTGCAACCAACAACATGATTACAATCAGGTAAAATCAGTACAGTAATGGAATTTGACGGGCTGTTAAAGCAATAAAGAAGGAAAATGTGTGCGTGGGTGCATGTTAAGAAGCTGGGCTTGTTTCCGGCGTCATATCACTTGTAAAGTCCCTACTTAGGACTCCGTCCATTTTTTTTTGTTGATCTAAGGTGATAATACTAAAAGTAAAAGTATGTATAAATAAAAGTGATTGATGAAAATCATTCTTATACTGCCAACAAATATACTTCACCCGGATTTGCTTTAAGCGGAGGGACGCGAGAGACGTACATGCGTGTTGTTAGCGGTCAAACGAAATTCATTTATAACGGCATCGCTCACGTACACTAACTTATACATGTTGACGTAGGTCATTACCTAGTTTGATTTATGATGTGCCATATTGCCAAATGGAAGTCCATAATCTCTGCCTACCCCTCTGGCTGACAGGCGTGAGTGTTTATATATATATATACATATTGCCGATGTCTCACACATCTGTGAAGACATGTGTGTGAGAAAACTTCGTCTTCGGCCTACATCGAATGTTACATAACTTCGCAGTTTCGTCGTCGCGATTTTTTGTCGCGACAACAAAATGACATCAAATTATTATTTGCTTTATTAATTTTATTTTTCACCCGGTTCATTAAGTTTCTGTAATAAAATTATACAATTATGTCGTTATTCTTATTCACACACAGTGTAGTGGTGGTGTAAGATTATCTTCTACCCCATGTCATACGAGGCGACAGAGGAAAACAAACCAAGAGATGGGCAGCAGCGTCTTCCTAATTACAACTAAAAAATAAAAAGCTGCGGTTGCCAACTTGCTCACCAACTTGCATGAAGTATTCTATGAGACACGCCTATGTTCAACAGTGGACTTTGAGAAACTGTAACTGTTTCAATTATGCCGTTGTGTGCACTACTTTCGATGTCTGTGTCGATGTAGGCACAGTATAAATATGAACAGTATGGAAACTAAGCCTAGTTGAGGATATAATTACCTACGCTCCATTGAAGCAATAAGGTTGTAACTTTTAATGTTTTGATATTGCTTTTTTTTATAATTTTGTTCTGTAGTGATCAATCAATCGAATTTAAATAACTAGCTTACAAATACAATTTAATTAGGTAATCTCAGCAAAAAACGATAATTTAAACACGGAAAACAATTTAATATTAACACACAACAACTTGTAGAAATTTAACTTTGTCATTACGGCGTAACCTTTTACAAGTTTCGGCGGGAACGTACGCGAGCCGCAGTTGGACGAAAACGTACCTTTATTCTTCACTAGTTGTTCCCTGCGACTTCGCTCGCGTGTTAGGGTTTTTATTTTTTAGCGCGGAACTCTAATTCTTTTTCTAAAATAAAAGTAGTCTAAGTTACTCCTTATGACATCAGCTATCTGCCTGTGAAAGTGCCGTCAATATCCGTCCAGCCGTTTCGCAGAATAGGTGGAACAAACAGACGGACAGACAGACAAAAATTTTAAAAATTGTTATTTAGTTATAAGTACCGTATTTACTTTCATATGCATTAAGTAAAAAGCTGTTATTTTGACATTACAAACAGACATTTCAATTTTATTTATTTGTATAGATTATTATATAATAGATAATAGATAATTATTTACAAAAAAATATTTTCGTTTGCTACGACAAGTTCGGAATTCTTTATTATTGAATACTAACTGTGTAAAAAAATATCATTCTAATGAACAGGTTTTTTTAAAATAAACTGGGAACAAGGAACAAGGAAACAAGGAACGGGTGGGTACTATGAAACCGATTTTGTTTATTTTTTTGTAAATTAGATCAGCTACTTTGCAGTTTATATGTTCTTTTTTAAAGCAACAACGAAAAATCAGTTTCAACACCCTCAAAAACCATGAAAATGACACCCATAACGAAAAAATTAATACCTATTGCAGCCATCATCTTGGATTTGCATTTTAACAGCACTATCGGCTTCAACATACTCAAAAACTATGAAAATGACACCCATGACAAAAAAATTGATACCTATTGCAGCCGCCATCTTGGATTTACATTTCAACAGCACTATCGGATTCAACATACTCAAAAACTATGAAAATGACACCCATGACGAAAAAATTGATACCTATTGCAGCCGCCATCTTGGATTTACATTTCAAAAGCACTATCGGCTTCAACATACTCAAAAACTATGAAAATGACACCCATGACGAAAAAATTGATACCTATTGCAGCCGCCATCTTGGATTTACATTTCAACAGCACTATCGGCTTCAACATACTCAAAAACTATGAAAATGACACCCATGACGAAAAAATTGATACCTATTGCAGCCGCCATCTTGGATTTACATTTCAAAAGCACTATCGGCTTCAACATACTCAAAAACTATGAAAATGACACCCATGACGAAAAAATTAATACCTATTGCAGCCGCCATCTTGAATTTACATTTCAACCAGCACTATCGGCTTCAACATACTCAAAAACGATGAATATGACACCCATGACGAAAAAATTAATACCTATTGCAGCCGCCATCTTGAATTTACATTTCAACCTGCACTATCGGCTTCAACATACTCAAAAACGATGAATATGACACCCATGACGAAAAAATTAATACCTATTGCAGCCGCCATCTTGAATTTACATTTCAACCTGCACTATCAGCTTCAACATACTCAAAAACGATGAATATGACACCCATGACGAAAAAATTAATACCTATTGCAGCCGCCATCTTGAATTTACATTTCAACCAGCACTATCGGCTTCAACATACTCAAAAACGATGAATATGACACCCATGACGAAAAAATTAATACCTATTGCAGCCGCCATCTTGAATTTACATTTCAACCTGCACTATCGGCTTCAACATACTCAAAAACGATGAATATGACACCCATGACGAAAAAATTAATACCTATTGCAGCCGCCATCTTGAATTTACATTTCAACCTGCACTATCAGCTTCAACATACTCAAAAACGATGAATATGACACCCATGACGAAAAAATTAATACCTATTGCAGCCGCCATCTTGAATTTACATTTCAACCTGCACTATCGGCTTCAACATACTCAAAAACGATGAATATGACACCCATGACGAAAAAAATGATACCTATTGCAGCCGCTATCTTGGATTTACTTTTTGTTACCACTATTACACTATCAGCTTTAAATAGCCTCAAAACTGCAGCATTCTGGATGTACAAATAAGTTCACGAATTCATTATGATCGATCACACGGACTTATAAATTCGATAACGATTATAAAAATTACAATAAAAATCATTCTTACCTTTCAAAATCAGCAGGAAGCTTAAAATAAGATAGCTCCGGTTTTGATGAAGCCGAGTTCAAACAGCCGTATACTACGCAATACGTTCGTGGCATTTTTAGTCTTGAGGCGACACTCGCTACTGAGAGCACCGCGACGAGCGCTTAGAAGTCTCGTCGTTGCGCATGTTTGTGTGAGTGTGCCGTTTCGAGCGTCTGTAGGAAGTTTCCGTACTGTTCCTACTATATATTTACTGTGATGTAGGCGCCAAACGATGTGTTCCCGCTCAAGTGACCGTGGCAAGTCTTCGCGACGTTTTGGTTACGTATATGGGTGGGGTAAAAAAAAATAGTTTTTAAAAACAGTTTATGTTTATCTGTTTTTTAAATATGAGAATGTTTTATTTTTTAGTTAAATATACGTTGGTATTGTAATTTTACTTGTCTTCGTTGCTAGTATTTTTTTATTATAATTCATTTCAAGTAATTTGTCAAAAAAAATATTTTCTTATAAAATAACTAAATTAAAATATATCCCTTTCAATTTTTCCTTTTTGTGTTATAATTAGCGTGTTACATGGTAATTTTCATTGTTTAGTGATAACCACATTAAAACTGTTCTATTTTATGTTTTATGTTATTATACGTGGTAGAGCCATGCTGCAACTATTATAGTTGTGGCACGAATGGATCGGCTCGATTGGGGAAGGACCACGTTCTCACAGAATACCAGCGTAAAATAGCAGCTTTACACTGCTGTGTTTCGTATGGTGAGTGTAGAGAACCGGATACCCTTTTTACTGGAAAAGAGGCATTCCGACTTAGTCCTTACGGGTGACAACGAATCTGCATTTTGATTTTTTATTGAGGATAAATGTAGATGTTTATAGGCTACAGCATCCACTTACCATCAGGTGGACTGTGTGTTCGTTTGTCATCTTTTTTTTTATAATAACCATAAGACTAAAACCGTTTTGTGTCAATTTAATGTCAACGATTTTGGTGTAGTGTACAGAAGTAAGTTATAGAATTTCATTCGTTACCATTTGTAGTGTGTTATTATAGTTTGTAAGCGTGAGTGAGTGCGGGCTGGGTATATAGTATGGCATTTAAAGGGCGGCAACGCATCTGCAATTCCCCTGATGTTGTAGTTGTTCATGGGCGGCGGTAGTCACTTACCATGCAAAAAGAAATATATATAAGGGTGGTGGCGTGCTGGCGGCAGGTGAAGGGGCAGCTGCTGGAGGCGGGCGAGCGCGTGCGGCAGCTGCCCGAGGGCTCGCTGCAGATCGCGGGCGTGGCGCGCGAGGACGCGGGCGAGTACTCGTGCCACGTCGACAACCCCTTCGGCACCGACTCCGTCACGCACACGCTCTCCGTGCTGGGTCAGTATATGTAAGGGTTGTGGCGGGCTGGCGGCTGGCGGCTGGCGGCTGGCGGCAGGTGAAGGGGCAGCTGCTGGAGGCGGGCGAGCGCGTGCGGCAGCTGCCCGAGGGCTCGCTGCAGATCGCGGGCGTGGCGCGCGAGGACGCGGGCGAGTACTCGTGCCACGTCGACAACCCCTTCGGCACCGACTCCGTCACGCACACGCTCTCCGTGCTGGGTCAGTATATGTAAGGGTTGTGGCGGGCTGGCGGCTGGCGGCTGGCGGCTGGCGGCAGGTGAAGGGGCAGCTGCTGGAGGCGGGCGAGCGCGTGCGGCAGCTGCCCGAGGGCTCGCTGCAGATCGCGGGCGTGGCGCGCGAGGACGCGGGCGAGTACTCGTGCCACGTCGACAACCCCTTCGGCACCGACTCCGTCACGCACACGCTCTCCGTGCTGGGTCAGTATATGTAAGGGTTGTGGCGGGCTGGCGGCTGGCGGCTGGCGGCTGGCGGCAGGTGAAGGGGCAGCTGCTGGAGGCGGGCGAGCGCGTGCGGCAGCTGCCCGAGGGCTCGCTGCAGATCGCGGGCGTGGCGCGCGAGGACGCGGGCGAGTACTCGTGCCACGTCGACAACCCCTTCGGCACCGACTCCGTCACGCACACGCTCTCCGTGCTGGGTCAGTATATGTAAGGGTTGTGGCGGGCTGGCGGCTGGCGGCTGGCGGCTGGCGGCAGGTGAAGGGGCAGCTGCTGGAGGCGGGCGAGCGCGTGCGGCAGCTGCCCGAGGGCTCGCTGCAGATCGCGGGCGTGGCGCGCGAGGACGCGGGCGAGTACTCGTGCCACGTCGACAACCCCTTCGGCACCGACTCCGTCACGCACACGCTCTCCGTGCTTGGTCAGTCGCATGCTCTCATTGTTCTGTTTTTTCACAGTTATTTGAGTCAATGTAGAAATGGACGTAAGACTTAAGAACGTTGAAGTGTTTATTTACGTTTGTAAGGTCTTGCGCTTATTATATTTTGATATATTACTACTATTATATTAAGATTTATAGATTTCTAAATAATAATTATTAAAAGTAATTTTTAGTGGAAAAAATCACAGTGGAACATAGCAGGAGATTTTTGAAAATATTACAATTATGTATTATGCTCTACAATTTATTATTTATCGCTTGGTAGTGATGACCTCATTACCTTTTACATCGATAGACTTTTTGATTTTTTGGAAAATAAGCTTAGTATATAAATGTAACATTACGATAATTTTCATGAAAAACCATAAATAAATAATATTATTTAAATTTTCTATAAATAATAACATCTATTTAAGCACGGGTTTCTTCTTAATGAACCTATAAATCTACTGCAGGATATTGTCCTTTTGAAGGCTTTAAAAAATTCGCAAATACGTGGTAATCAGCGTTTTTTTATTACTATATTATTATTTACCGTTCTAACAACAATATATGAAGGTTATTTTATGTTTTATTTATTCACATTTATTTTCATGCTAAATACCCGGTATTTACCGCAAAAAAGAACCCCTTTGTCGTATCTCCTCACTTTCAAGGTACTCCCCTTGTTGCCTCAGCCAGTATCGGAATTCGGAATCCTCGGCGTCGACATATCGAGTAACGTGCAGTTTCGTAGTCACTTGGAAGAGAAGGCCAAGTTGGCCTCTAAAAAGCTTGGCGTGCTCAGTAGAGCGGGACAGTATTTCATGCCGGCTCAACGCCTGCAGCTTTACAAGGCGCAGGTTCGGCCTCACATGGAATACTGTTCCCATCTCTGGGCTGGGGCTCCCCAGTGCCAGCTTCTTCCACTTGACCGCATACAGCGCAGAGCGGCTTGAATCGTCGACGACCGAGTCCTTTCCGATCGGCTCGACTCATTGGCACTGCGAAGAGATGTTGGATCTCTTAGCATTTTCTTTCGCATTTACCATGGGGAGTGCTCTGAGGAATTGTTCGGATTAATCTCAGCCGCCAAATTTCACGAACGCACATCACGGCAGAACTCCCGATACCATCCACACCATCTGGATGATTGGCGGTCCACCACTGTGCGATTTAGAAGATGTTTTCTTCCTCGCACAACTTCCTCGTGGAATAGTTTACCACCAGCGATTTTTCCGGACCGATACGACTTAGGGACCTTCAAGAAAAGAGCCTACTCCTTTTTAAAAGGCCGGCAACGCATCTGCAATTCCCCTGGTGTTGCGGTTGTTCATGGGCGGCGGTAGTCACTTACCATCAGGTGAGCCGCATGCTCGTTTGCCCCCTCTCCTATAAAAAAAAATTTGAATGAAGATATTATACCGAAACATCACAAAGGTTATCTGACTATACTATATACATAGTTTTTATTGCTTCGGATAACTAACTATGTAAAGACATATTCCCAAGCATTTCTTTATTTTTTATTTTTTTTACTTGTAATAACAAGCAAGATCCACAGCCCTAATTACAATGTAAATAAACTTAAGAAATAATCTTACAACCAATAACGGATCTACTTTTACTTAAATTAATCGACCGACAATCAATAAGTTTGAGCCACAAAAACATACAATTTTAGAATTAACAATTAAAAACGGCGCGTCTCTCTTTCTCTCTGATCTGTGTGTCCGTGTATGCGCACTTGTATCCGTGTACGCGCTTGTGTGTGTGTATGTCTCTGTGTGTGTGCGTGCGTGTAAGCGTGTGTGCGTGCAAGCGTGCGTGCGTGCGTGCGCGCGCGTGTGTGTGTGTGTGTGTGTGTGTGTGTGCGTGCGTGCGTGCGTGCGTGCGTGTAAGCGTGCGTGTTTGCAAGCGTGCGTGTTTGCAAGCGTGCGTGTGTGTGTGTGTGTGCGTGCGTGCGTGCGTGCGTGCGTGCGTGCGTGTATGCGTGCGTGTTTGCAAGCGTGCGTGCGTGTGTGTGTGTGTGTGTGTGTGCGTGCGTGCGTGCGTGCAAGCGTGCGTGCGTGCAAGCGTGCGTGTGTGTGTGTGTGTGTGTGTGTTCAATATACATATGAACCATTTCCTTCAAGAACTTCCCTCTTAAACACATTCCTACTACATACTATGAAAAGTGTCAGTAACATTAAATTGGTTATTAAAAGTTCTATGCAATCGACTGACCAATGCGTTTTGTGCGTAATTTGATTTTGATCGTGTTACAGCAAATAATTTTGTGTGTCTCGTTCTAACTTTCCGGGCGCAGAAAATCAGTTTGGTTGATAGTTCAGGGCTATCTATACCTATATCCGTTGCATATTCCGTGTAAAAAGGACATGTCAGCAAGTACACGCCTAGTTTTGAGAGTCGTGAGATTATGAAAATGACAGGATTCATCATAGTTTTTAAAAAGGCAATGGGACCGATAATTTAAGTGTTTTATGAATTTTTCTTGAATTTTCTCCAAATCTTGAGTATAAATGATATACTGAGAGTTCCAAATTGTGCTACAGTATTCTAGGATGCTCTTAACATAAGCGTAATATAGTACTTTTAGGAATCCTATGTCTGGGAAGGGCTGACTAACACGCAATACGAAACCTACCGAAATAACATGCTATACGAAATGCTTTGTTTTTAATAATGAACACCGAGATCCCTAACACAAGCCGATTTTGCAATTTTTACATTACTAATATAGTATTCAAAATTGATTGGATGTTTCTTGCGAGTAAAGGACATAAAAGAACATTTGTTTATATTTATTCCAATTAGATTATCAGTATAATATTGTTCTAGACGGTTAAGATCAGCTTGTAGGCCAGTACAATCCATATCATTTTTAATTTTCATAAATATTTTAGTGTCATCAGCGTTCCGCTAATATTATCTTGTGTTTGCAGCCCCTCCATTCCCACCTCAGCTAAGCATCGCATCGTCATCCGTGTCGTCGCTAACGCTGCGCTTGAAGCCTTCCGTAGATGTTGACCAATCACCGGCCGCCGGATATACCATTCACTACAAGCAAGAGTTCGGCGATTGGGAAACTGTGCAGGTAACAATCCCGTCGACTGTTCAAACGTAAATAAAAATGCTTTATTAGGATATATTTTTTTTAAATAAAATTTTTTGTATAAAATTAAAGTTTGTAAAGTGGCAGTCTATAAAAGTCCCACTACCGGGCACAGGCCTTCCTTAATTTTTGACAGCATTTTGGAGCAGTTAGTCTGGCGCGTTGCCTCAGTGCTTCAGTGTTTCTCATACATCGTCACCGACATAAACACAGCGACGGGGAATAAAATCATCGTTAGGAAACCTCCACCGCCGAGTACGTCGCAAATCTAATATTGCAGTTATATTAATTGATAACGGCGTAGATGGAACCTTGATTGGTCGCGTATATTTACAGTAAAATTTAAGGCGAGCATTTAGCTCCTAAGCTATCTCGGCATTTTTTATATGTACTTTAACAAATTACAACATTTGGCCAATATTAAGTATTTTATTTTTATTAAAGAAAATCAAGTAGATATTTTGTTTATATGAAAAATAAGAACTAATTTAACGGATTATCACAATTTATTTATATTTTTTTGTTCAGTGGTTGTAAATATTTATTCTATGAACTAGATTTTATAGCGCGTTGTTAAAAAAATAAAAAAAAAATCTTATAATAAACAATGTTATTTATAAGTCACATTGTTGGTGGTAGTTATACAGTCTGGAAGTAGTCGTAACTTCATAACAACCTGTTGATCCCAAATTGATTAAGCTTTCGCTATTAGGTTTCAATTAGGTTGTAGTTTTTGAAAAACTTCAGCACCGCTCCCGAAACTTAAATAGGTACAGTAATATTATGAATTTTGTTCCTACAGATTCCAAGCAACACTGACACATACACTTTGGAGAACTTATTCTGCGGATCTAGATACCAGCTCTACGTAACGGCTTACAACGGGTAAGTGTTACAGTTTTCCACAAAGTAAAGTCGCATTTCTTATTTAAAACAAGGTTTTAAATAAGAAATGCCCGGGGAAATGAAGGGTTAGCTCGTACGAGCAAATTAAATTTGCTGAAGTGTCTTCACCTTTTTTTTTTTCAATTTTAAATTGCAAACAGGATTCTTGGCACTATGCCGCTGGGAGTGGGACTGCATGATATGATAATTTAAGTTTTAAGATTAAGTTTTTTTTTTATAAAGGTAATAAATAAGGTACGTAAGGGTACCTTAAGCTTTGCCGCCTTATAAAAGCAAAACTAGGAGGAGGACATTGATTCGCAAATGAGGACGGATGTAGATGTATTGTATTGTATATGTATTGTATTGTATTGACTACAGCATCCACTTACCATCAGGTGGACTGTGTGCTCGCTTGTCACCCTTATCATATATAAAAAAAGCTTAAGCTTGTAGTTTTTATTACAATAAAATTTTAATTTAATTGTTAATTAAGAAACGCTAGAGCGTGTATTAATTAGTATTTGGTTAAATATATTTTATAAGTAATAATTATTTAATATAATTTTACGTATATTATCTATTTACTAAATACGCACTAAGCTTGCCTTTTTTTAATATATTATCTTGTATGGATCTACTCGAAGATGTACCCGCAACAAATAAAACTTAACTAAAAAACTTGCGGTTCTATAATAGTGGTCTTTGGGCAAGTAGTTAAATTAAATTAGCTGCCAGAGAATGCCTTTTCGGCATTAAGTTCTCCTTTGTACCAAATTTTTTTTGTTTGTATGTAATAAAGAAGTTTCTATCTATCTATCAATTAAGAAAAAAACACGTTAATTTTTTTTTGTATTTAGAAAATGTATTAATTTAATATCAAATATATATCTTATCGCTATAAATCCTTTAGCACTCGTAGTTTTGTTTTAAAATGGTGTTAAAGAAAAAAAAATATTTAAAAATTTTACAACTTAAGTTTAGTAGATAGAAGGTAAAGAAAAGAAATTAATACAAAAGTGAGAACTTTTTTGTGAAAAAAGTCGATGAAAGAAGATTTTGATGAGATAATAATCAAAAGTCATTTATTTTATCAGTTTTTGGATTTGACAGTAAAGTTCTGCATGTTTTTTTTTTGCATAAAATATAGTCTAGATCACTCCTGTTATTGCTCTCGATCTGTTTGTGAAGTTTCAGAAAAGTTAAACAAGCAAATCAGATATACATTTCATTTTTGTATTATATGGTATAGATAGATTGATATGTGAATAAAACTAGTATTTACGGATTTTATCGCGTATATTAACTTATTTTATATTCCCTCGAAAGGTCGGAAATGTAAAATAAGTTAATATACGCATAAACATATAAAATAATTTGTTTTATATTCCCGACGTTTCGAGCATTTTACAGCACGGGTCACGGGGGGACTGAGGTGTTTGACGTCCCAATGTCATAGTTTCCACATCAGCCTACCGAAGCTACTGTTGAATATAGACAGTAGTTCATATGCGCAGACTTTGCAGACATAGTGCCATCCTTGGCAGGCGGATTGGCAAGTGCAGTTTGTTATTTTTATTCAGCTGTTATGAGGTAGATGCGCTACAAGCCTCTATCGCCTGTTACGATACTCACGGGATGGTACGTGGTAGTGGATATTTTTATGCCGCCACTATATATGATGTCGGATTGTATGAAACCTTTTTGAGTATGTCGCTGTGTGAGTGAGTGAGAACGAGCGTTGGTTGGTTGGGCAGCATCGGCACGGGCGAGGCGTCGGACGTGGTGATCGCGCGCACGCGCGGTTCGAAGCCGCCGGTGCCGCGCGCCGCCGACTTCATCGAGGTGGGCAGCTCCTCCGTCACGCTGCACCTCAAGCAGTGGCTCGACGGCGGCTGCCCCATGAGCCACTTCGTCGTCGAGAACAAGAAGAAGTCAGTGCGCCCACACGCCACACCCCACACCCCACACCCGACACCGCTCTCTCACTACTCGTCGCTACCAAACATAAAATGTTTCACACTTATATACACCTACACATTCAACTTATATGTATGTACTACGTACTTAAAGAAACTCGGACTCTAAAATATCTCAACCAAAAGTAGAAGAACATTTCTTAGTAGATAGAACATTTTTTCGACCGTACTCGTCCGTCATATCGGTAGCAGCAATAGATTTCAATTGTACTTAAAATTTTAGGTTCTGAATTTTTGCATTTCGACAACAGCGCCACCTACCAGGTCCAACTAGAAATGAACCATCCAGGTGACCCCATGAGTACCCTACAAAATTCTCAAAATCGATCAAGCCATTTAGTAAGAGAAATTACAAACACGCGTATATCAGAATTTTATATTTAATTATACATATTATAAACCTTCCTCTTGAATCATTATGTCTATTGATGAAAACCGCATCAAAATCTGTTGCGTTGTTTAAACGATCTAAGCGTACAGACGGCGGAAAGCGACGTTCTATGTAGACAAGAGACTTGTCAAAAACAGTAACTAACTCTGTCCTTGCACTGACGTACACATTTTGTTCGCAGTGTGTTCGAGTACGTAGTACATATAAGTTCAATGCATCTACATAGTGTATTAGCACAACCCAGACACTCCATGCAAATATAACATTTTAATTACTTACTACTCCTACAAGAACTCCAACCGGTCCGCACGCAATTTGTGTTCGTAGTTATTCTAGTGCCGAACTAAGCCAATCAAGCGAAATAAGTACAAAAATATACATATAACATCGAGTGTAGATCACTTTTATTGCTTTTAATTTTAATAGACAACTAGGATTTTTTATTCGCATATATCGGACAATTAGGAAAACAAAAGCAAGAAAATTTAATGATCATAATGTATCATTTTGCCGTTAATATGCACCAAAAAGCATGGTTACCATATCAAACTGATATTTGGCTTCGTATTTTCACATTTGTTGTAAATTACATTGTCTACTTTACAATGACAGCGTAGCATAAAATAGTAGCACATGCTATTGGGTTTCATAATATGATGAAAACGTCAACCACAGACCCTTTTTACTGGTAACGTGGCGTTCAGTGGTGACAACGCATCGCATTTTGATTCATAATTGAAGATAAATGTACGATTGTTGTCATTTGGTAAAACTCCAACTTCATTTTTGTGATTAAAGGACATGCCTAAAAAGACTGTGAGATGAAACCGATCGGTTTTGTGTTTGACTAAGTTACAAAAATGAAATATAAATTACAACTATTAAGTACATGTCAATAATAGGTTTTGCTTGAGATGTTAAAAATAATGCATAAGCTTTTTGTATTGTCGTGTTCTCTTAACTGATTCTGCACACGTAAATTGTTCATAAATAAATAGATATAATATTAACAGGGGCGCCGCTGAATGGAATCAAATCTCAAATGCTGTGAAGCCTGGTGGAAATTTCGTTGTTCTTGGTAAGTTAGTTTTGAATCCACAAATATAATCATTAAGCATATTATGTAACAATTATTCTTCTAAATTAATATAATGCACTTCTAGACCTGGAACCTGCCACTTGGTACGTTTTGAGAATAACCGCACACAACAACGCTGGATTTAATGTCGCCGAATATGAATTTGCTACTCTCACTATGACTGGAGGTGCGTAACAATATTTTTTTAAAGAACTTTAAAATTTATTTTACACCAAATATAATAAATGATAAAGAGTTTCATTAGCCCCAGAAGAAGTAAGTTTTTCGGTTGAATGCATAACATGCCCAAATACTTTTTTTAATTGTTTTTAAATGCGAAGCGTCTACACTTACACGGAACTCGCAAAATATAATCTATAGCTAATCAGCCGGTTTTTATGTTTACTAATAACAATTACATTCTGCATAAAATTTAGTTGAAAATAGATAAAATACCCTACAAAATGCTGTAGTAAATTGTAAACAACATTTCAACCATATGTTTCTTATTTTCAAATAATTCAAGTGTTTTATGCTTTTCAAATGATTCAAACGTATGTCTTTATATCAAGATGAACTTCTGCAGTAATTATAAACTTAATATTATGAGGTTATAACTATTATGTGACGTAATATGTATTGCCACTGATTACTTAATAGTTCATATGTCTATTACCGTAAAACGTTTGGTAATCACTTTTTAAAAAATTGTCTTTATGCATAATGCGATATCTTTACGATATAATAAGTATTTAAGTAAAAAAAAAAAAATAAGGATAAACAGTTAAAGTTATTTAAAGTACCTGAAATGCAGCGCCTTTTAACTTTTATTTGAAAATGTATCTTGTCGTACTCATAGAGGGCTTGCATTTCAGGTACGATCGCACCCGCGCGCGACGTCAGCGACGGCCACCTTACCACGGAACAGACGATCAAGATAATCCTGTCGCATCTCAATCTGATCGTGCCAGTGGTCGCCGCGATACTCGTCATCATCATTGCGATCGTTGTCGTTTGCGTGGTGCGAGGCGCGCGGGACCACCACCACCACAAAGGTACAAACGAGCATATGTTGTAGGCACCATCGCTCCTCTGCCCGGCAACGCCGACGGCGACAAGGAACTCCCGCCCTGGGTCAGAGCCTGGCTTGAACCTGAAGTCTTGGTACCAATATTGGCGACCATCGTCGTCTTCATCGTCGGTCTCGTGGTGATCTGTCTGACCCTCGCCAGAAGGAACACGCCTCATCGCCTGCGAGGTCAGAAGGACGTGTACTGTATGTATGGTGGCATGAACACCGCTTCATATCTTTTTTTGTCCATTACCTCATACCTACTGTTTATTTAAAGTTTTATAGCGATCCAATTGACGCATGTACACAGCGTAACTACTATTTTAATTTTTTAACTATCCGAAATATAACATATTAACCTATGATTTGCTTAAATGTGTCTTATTTAATGTATAGTGTTCACAAAAAGCCTTGTATATAACCTTTTTATACAGTAATAAGGCCATTTTAGTAATGATTAAATTTTATTAAATAATTTAAAGATTTAATTTAAAAATTGACTTGTTGGAGGCTTTCTAGACGCTAAAAATAACCACTAGAAATCTTTTTTCTGTCTTTTGCATAGATATTATCGATAACCTTTTTTTTAATCATGTTTTATTTTCATGTTCTGTTCTATATTATTCTTGGAATAACCCAGATTAAATTAGAACCTAGTAGTGAATAGGTTTTACAAACAAAAAGGTAATTCAGAATTGATATTTACTTTCCATAATCAAAACACATTTTCTCTACTTTCTTCACATTTAATGTGGCGTTCATTATCTTCACTTATTCAGTTACAAAGTCCTTTGCTGAACATAGGGCATCCCTATAGATTGCCTGCCATTGATTGATCAATGATGTTTGTCATAAATGTCGCTCTTGGCAGGTGGGTTGGCAACCGCAGTTTTTTATTATTTTGATCAATTTCCCTCTGTCACTTCTTACGGCACTCGTGGGATGATGTGGATTGTCTTAAGCCACCACTACACGCTTTCATTTTCTAACTTATACATGATAAATGTACGGATGTTTGTTCTTCAATCACCCTAAAACGATTTGATGGATTCTAATGAAGTTCGGCATATTATAAGTCGATTATATCGGAAAGTAGGATAAAGAATACTTTTTATAACAATTATTAACAAGGTTTAATTTACGTCTAGTGAAACGAACAGGTAACAGCTATTTAAATCATAAATTCTCATTTAGTTAAAGTAAATAATTATTTTGTATTGGCCTTTAAAAGTAGCATTAATTCCAAAAATACTACTAATGTTTGCACCAGCTTGTATATTGCATTAGATTCTATTTTATGCTAATTGGTCAAATTCTATTTTTTCGCAATATACATTGAATACGGGATAACGCAAATCGATAATCTATTTCATGTTTCGATAACAGTGTATTTCTTAAGCTGGTGCTCCGAATAATAAAATAAAATATATGTGTATCTCTACGTTCAGTTAATGTGTATAGACTAAGGGCTACAAACGAACACACAGTCCACCTGATGGTAAGTGGATGCTGTAGTCCACAGACATCTACATTTACCCTCGATTAAGAATCAACATGCAGATGCTTTGCCCCTGAGGACAGAGATGGAATGTGCCTCGAATCCAGAAAAAATGGTCTCCGGTTCTTTACACTCATCATACGAAACACAGCAGTATTAAGCTTTTATTTTTTTTTCTTTTTTATAGGAGAGGGGGCAAACGAGCATGCGACTCACCTGATGGTAAGTGACTACCGCCGCCCACGAACAACCGCAACATCTGAGGAATTGCAGAGGCGTTGCCGGCCTTTTAAAAAGGAGTAGGCTCTTTTCTTGAAGGTCCCTAAGTCGTATCGGTCCGGAAAAATCGCTGGTGGTAAACTATTCCACAAGGAAGTTGTGCGAGGAAGAAAACATCTTCTAAATCGCACAGTGGTGGACCGCCATTCATCCAAATGGTGTGGATGGTATCGGAGTTCTGCCGCGATGTGCGTTCGTGAAATTTGGCAGGTGGGATTAATCCGAACAATTCCTCAGAGCACTCCCCGTGGTAAATGCGAAAGAAAATGCAAAGAGATGCATCATCTCTTCGCAGCGCCAATGAGTCGAGCCGATTGGAAAGGACTTGGTCGTCGACGATTCGAACCGCTCTGCACTGGATGCGGTCAAGTGGAAGGAGCTGGCACTGGGGAGCCCCAGCCCAGAGATGGGAACAGTATTCCATGTGAGGCCGAACCTGCGCCTTGTAAAGTTGCAGGCGGTGAGCCGGCATGAAATACTGTCCCGCTCTGCTGAGCACGCCAAGCTTTTTAGAGGCCAATTTGGCTTTCTCTTCCAAGTGACCACGAAACTGCACGTCATTCGATATGTCGACGCCGTGGATTCCGATACTGGCTGAGGCAACAAGGGGAGTACCTTGAAACTGAGGAGATACGACAAAGGGGTTCTTTTTAGCGGTAAACGCGCAAACTTGTGTCTTCTGAGGATTAAACTGGACTAGATTTAGTCGGCCCCAATCCGAGACTTTGTCCAGCAAAGACTCTACTACAGACACTAGTTTGTTCCGGTACTCGGTGACGTTTTCCCGAGAAATATTGGCACGGCCGGTGTATAGAGCATCGCCAGTGCTGTCATCAGCATATCAATGAATGCTACCGGCTTGCAACATATCATTGATATGCAGAAGAAACAGCGTTGGTGATAGCACGCAGCCTTGTGGAACACCAGCGTTAATAGGCTTGTAGTCGGAGCATGCACCGTTTACAACGACCTTGATACTCCGATCTGCAAGAAAGCTGGTGATCCAATTGCATAATTTCTCGGGAAGCCCATAGGAAGGGAGCTTCGAAAGAAGCGCTTTGTACCAAACCCGATCGAAGGCCTTCGCATTGTCCAAACTAACGGCCAATGCCTCCCCCTTGGACTCTACTGCCTCCGCCCATCTATGAGTTAAGTAGACCAGAAGATCACCAGCTCATCGACCCCGACGAAAACCGTACTGGCGGTCACTAATCAGCTGGTGATCCTCAAGGTACCGCATGAGGTGGCAGTTTATAACGGATTCCATTATTTTGGAGAACAAGGGGGTGATAGCGATAGGCCTGTAGTTGGACGGGTCTGAGCGGTCGCCTTTTTTAGGGATCGGGTGGACAAAAGCTGTCTTCCATGATTTCGGGACTACGCCTAGGGAGTAGGAGTACCGGAAAAGACGCGTTAGAACCGGTGCCAACTCTGGAGCACACGTCCTCAGCACAATTGGGGGGATTCCGTCAGGCCCACTCGACTTGTGGATGTCAAGGGAGAGGAATGCTCTGCGAACCGAGCGCTGTGAGAACCGCACATCTGGCATGGAGCACTCACACCGCGGGATGGTCGGCGGTGTGTTCCCCCCGTCATCAACAGTCGAGTTGGACGCAAAAAGGGAGCCTAAAAGGTTGGCTTTCTCTTTTGCGTCGTGGGCCAGTAAGTCGTCCTCCCTGTGCAGAGATGGTAGTGAAGGCTTACAGAAATTCCCTTGGACAGCCTTGGCGAGAGACCTGACCTGACTGCACGGGTTCCCGAAGGAAGGCGAACTAGTTTCTCGCCAATTCTGCCTATGTGCTCTGACTTTGCCTTGGCAATAACTCTTTTGAAGGACCTGGAGGCGAAGTTATACTTCTTTTTAAGTGTGCTGGTGTTTACATCCCGAGTCGCCGAAGCCGCAGCCCAGGCTTGATAACACTCCTGCTTACTGCGTAATGCAGTCTTACAGGAGCGACCAAACTAAGGCTGAGATCTGCCACCGATGGGTACCATAGATGATGGAATAAATAGTTCCATTCCCTGTAGCACCACATCAGTGACAGAGTCAGCAACAGCGCTGGGATCATCCGGCGAGAAGCAAACCCGCCCCCATGGGTAGGAAGCAAAGAAAGACCGCATTCCGTCGCAATCCGCCGACCTGTAATGCTAAACACGGCGGCAACCTGCAGAATGCAACCGCAAGGGGAGCTTGAGTGCCACCACACTCCGGATCAGACAATGGTCCGAAGAGCCAAGAGGGGCATCGACGGAAACCTGATATCCGTCCGGATGAGAGGTCTGCAGAAGGTCCAACAGGGAAGGTGTATGATCCTCAACATCTGGAATCCGCGTAGGCGATGTAACCAGTTGTGTCAGACCATATGCCAAGGCAAAGTCATAAACAGATCTCCCCGCATGATCGGTTAAACGTGAACCGAGCCATTCAGCATGGTGGGCGTTAAAATCGCCAAAGATTACGATCTCTGCGGATGAGACCTGTTGTAGCAAGGAATCTGTAGACATTTGGACATGGTCGATGAGTCGGTCTCTTTCGGAATTACCGCTATGGGACCTATAGAGGCACCCGTAGACGCGTGGATGGTCGTCGCTGTCTACGCGTAGCCAAAGGATGGACAGGTCCGAACCTTCAAGACTGCCGAGGCGTCGAGAACAGATGTCCTCTCTGACATACACGCAAACTCCAGCCCGAGGCACAAAGGAATGCTCCAATTTGTACCCCGGGTAGGAGAGATACGAAATATCAGCCGGAGAGGAAACCTGCGTCTCGGTCAGAAAGAGCAAGGCCGGCTTCGCCGTCTCGAGATGGTAGTGGACGGCGTTTAGGTTAGAGTGAAGTCCCCTGATGTTGCAGAAATTAACGGATAGCGTGGCAGGGGTCGCCTTGGTGTTCTTGCTCAGTTCCGAGCAGGTATGTTTTTGAGCGGAATTTTGCCCCCCCCCCCCCCTCCCCCGGAATACGCGGAGCAGAATACCATCGGAATAACATGGTCGTGGATGCTCAGCGAGGGATTCTCCAGGGGTACTGGTACCCTCCTGGTGTTGTCTATCGTGTAATTCCGCTACCATGTTGATGGGGTTGAACTGGGCCTCCGGCCACCTGCACTCACCAGACGAAACGCAGAAGCAGAGCTTCTACTTCACGCCGGTATTCTGTGAGGTCGTGGTACCAACCCGGCTCGAGCCGGTCCATACGTGCAACAGCAAAAACTGCTGCGTGGCTCTACCACCGTTAATAGCTAAGCTATTAGCTAATTTTACACTGGTATTATGTGAGAGCGTGGTCCTATCCCGGTCGAACCGACCCATTCGTGCTTCAACCATATATAGCTGCAGTGTGGCTCTACCTAATGTATATGCCTGTGCGTAGGACATATGTACATGCAGTACAGTGACGATAGTGGTACAGGCATTTACCGGTGTGGAGCACATAAGAGTGTGAGAGTGTGAGTGAGTGAGACGGCGGGTGGTGTTGCAGACGACGGCGTGTACAACGCGTCCCAGGCGGCGCTGGGCGGCGGCGCGGGCTCGCTGGACAAGCGCGGCGGCCTACGCGACGAGCTGGGCTACATCGCGCCGCCCAACCGCAAGCTACCGCCCGTGCCCGGCTCCAACTACAACACCTGCGACCGACTCAAGCGCCAGGCCGTCATCAGTCAGTACCGCACGCTTTTTTTATAACTTACCTCGCCAGGCAAAAGCCTTGCGCACATTCAGCCTTTGATTTTCCGGTACTCTTTCATTTTTTGATTAAACTTTTCTTGTACGACATAGACATTTTTCATTACTACTAAACCAATCTTTTCTAGATAAGTATTAGACTGATGGTTATTATTATAAATATTGCATTATTGGATATCCAAAATGTCCCGGTATATAGTAAGTACTAATTTAATAGTTATAATATGTTAGAATGATCTTAGTTTAGAAGTAGGTGCAAATAAAGAACTGCAAATGTTTTTATACATAACTACGAGTATTATTTTTTTAATTATTCATACGACAAAAGTGTTAATTATTTGCTGTTATTTTCTTGTATTTTACTTTAACGCAAAATTTATTTCTAAGCTTCACTGGCACGTCTATAAGATCAATAAAAACATTTTGCATAATTATTTACCTATATTTGGTGGAAGATTTATCTTTTACTTGACCCTCTTTTTTATTTCAAGAGTTAGCGTTAATGGTTGCGGATCACGTTGTAGCCAAAAATACATTTTGCTAAAGCAAAAAATTTCAAGACTAATTTAATCTTTATCCCTAGATTGCTATTTTATAATTTTAATGTATCCTACTGAACCTGTTAGTTTAAATCCCATAATAGTCGCTTCTGTAAAATTGTTAGAAAACAACTTAGAAAGGAGAATGGGATATTTGGGCCTGAAGTTAACTAATTGGTTTATACTTTAAAAAATTGCCATATTTTTCTTAAGTAAAATACAAAAAAGTAGCTCTTTTTACAATCTAGATTTCGAAAAAATAATAAAATAATAAGTAAGATAGAAAATCGATTGTAGTGTATTATCTATGGCAATAAATTGATTACCATAAAGAATTCACTAGTGAAATTCTCGTTTTCGAACGTTATCTTCCAATAGTACTTTTCATTTTGAAACTTGACTTGACAGTTCATACTTCAAACTATTAAAAGAAAAAGACAGATTTTCGATTCGATTTGAAACGAGCGCAATATAATCGATTCTCGATTAAATTGAGCATTTTAATATCTATTTTCGATTATTTTTCTTTGTTAACTAGGGAGATAAAAAAATTGCGTGCATATCTACAAAATAATAATAACAAATACAAAATATCTAAATTCCAACAAGTAACAGTTACAACAACAATTCAAGTAATCGATCTCAGATCTATATCCCTAATATTCACTTCACTTAGTTGTTGTTATTTTAACTTTCGTTAACCGTTTGACCATTTCTTTTCATTATCAACCACAGATTTTTTGGTGATTTTATACTTATTCTGCTTTCATATCTTTAAGTAATTTTAGTGAAAAATTGCCTGTTACAGTGTAATAACAGTGAAAAATCACCTGTTACAGTTTAGGTAATAGATAATCTCTCTCTTACTTATTTTACAATAACTCAGCTCCTAGATTGACAAATCATGCCAGATTTTCAGTTATGAATTGTTTTTATATACGCTTTCAAATGGTCCTACTTTCATCTTGTTAACACTTGGGCCCAATAATGTATGGAGACGTCTCCTTCTCCTTTAAAGGTTATGTGTGCCTGAATCCAAGTTGCTATTTTTGGCTACATCGAATTTTCTCCTTATGTTGCCCATCCATGTCTTTGTTTCGCTTTAAACTAGTGTAATTTAGTTTTAATGTGATTAGAGGATACGTCAAAATTACTCAGGTACGTAATTTCTGCTGTATTGTACTTTTAGTCATAGGTATGTTAAGGGTATGGGAAATGCTTACGCCTCGAAGCCAACTCGCATATTTAATAAAATGGATGTACATTTTAAAATCATGAAAAAATATTTAAATAGAAAAGTGAGTAATACGAGTACGCAATGTTCTTTAAAAAGTAATGATAATCATGATAGGTTTTTTCTTTATTTCATACCATTATATATCATACATAGAATAAAGATAGTCAAGTATATACGCACTAAATGCTCGCTGTGCTTTTTCTCATTTAACAACGTCCGCACAACAAGTCACCAAAGTTTCAACGTGATCGGATAAATGGTATAGAAACGAAAAAAAGAGAAGACTTTAGAAAGATACAGAATGCTTCAGTTTCCAGTAGATAGTCATTCAAAATTATAATATTATATTATTAATTTCATTGACTATTGTCGAGTACACTAAAAATCGGAGACTTCTTTTACTAGTAGGTACTTCAAACTAAAAACCCTTCGGATATAGCCTTCCTTATGAGGATAATTTATATTTTGACTTTAAATCAAGAATAAATGTCTGTAGGGCACAGAATTCACTTACCATTATGCTATGCTCTTCTCTTCCTGCATAGCTACTATGTGTTCTTTTGTTATCCTAATTTCTATAAAAATAGTTTTGATAGTTAATTAATTTAAATTTTATGAACAAAATTATAATATTGATGCATTCTCTCAGTGTATCTAACGACAATACGAAGATATATAGAAATTCGGGAAAAAAGTTAAATAGAATTGATATACTTAAAGACTTTAAGTAAAATAAAAATATGTATAGTTGTTTTAATAATCTCCGTTATGATAACTGACTGCATAAGAATTTTAGAGATTAATGAAAGTCAATGCGCATTATTTGTCTATACTTTTTAAAACGTTGCTAATACGTATTAAGCTAATTATTCACCGCTGTACTGTAAAAATTACATAAATTGAATAAACACATATGCGAGAGGAGCATGGGGGGGGACAGGTACCCACGTGGTATGTGGTGCATGCGTAACGGAGTAGTGTGGTATCAGTGGGCGCGGGCGCGACGTGGGACCCGCGGCGCCACCAGTACGAGCGCGTGCGCAGGCCGCCGCCGCGCCGCGCCGGCTCCGGCGACACCTTCTGCACAGGTACGCCACCGCCACCGGGCACACGGATCAATATTGTCTCGCAATCAGTACTCACACTGGTGGTACACTGTGTTTTTACCACAGCTGCACGTCTGCCTACACGTGTCCTAACAAATAAAAAGAAACCTATTTATTTTCCACGTAAGAAACTATATCTATTCTAAAATATGAGCTAGAACCTAGAACGGCATCAGAAATTTTTAATTTAAAACCATTAGAAAATGAAAATAGGAAGCGATGTCAAAAAAGGACTTTTTGACAATTTTTAATAGTCAATAATCAACATACAATACATACGTATAAAGAATGGGATTAGAAACGGCGGCCAATCGAGCCCGTACCGTCAACATGCACAGTACCAACAGCAAAAACCCGCTAACAACGATATATCGTTATGACGTTATATTATTCGGTTAGTTGAAAATTTTCTTTTAATGGGAAAATATTTGTATAAGAAGTACGAGTAGGTACATTAATTTTAAAATAACATTAATAACTAGCGACCCGCTCTGGCTTCGCCTGGGTGGAATCTATTAATGTGGCTTTATTTAGACTTTTAAAATAACCATTAAAACCACTTTTTCATCTCAGCGATATTTCTATTTTAATAATTTCTCTAAATTTTTCGGATGAAATTTAATCTAGATCATTCCTAGTATTACTCTCTATTTCTTCGTTAGGTTTTATTACAATCGGTTCAACCATTCCGAAGATTAGCTCAGACAGATAGACAGAGAAACGAAAATACTCAAGTCTCAATGACATAAATTTTTTATCCAAAAATATACACAAATAAATTCAACAATAATTATGGTAAAAAAATTCAAAACACGTCGTCACAAATTAGCGAAACCGGTCTGATTTTTTTTAATAGTTTATGGCATTTTGTTATCATTGCTTTCAATGACAAGTAGGGTTGAAGCTATAGGACGTATGAAAAACGCATATCGCAACGTATTTTTTTTTTGTAGTCTACCGGCAGGTGCGAGTTTAGATAGCGACAATGTGCGTGCGAGATGCATAGAAGCGACACCATTTTCAATCCCATTCTTTAATCGCATGTAAAAAATGTAGTAAAATACACAATTAAGGACCCAGCTAAAGCATGTTTTACACAATATTAAAATAAAATCTGTGTATTGGAAGCCCCAGTAGACCAGCTTCGAAACCCGGAAAAGAGGCTTTGAGATATTAGCGAATATGTAAAAAGAAAGAAATGAAAATCATTTTACAATAATCTGTATAAAATGATTTAAAATCAAATTTTTGTTGAATTTAAATTTAAGCTCTTTGCATTCAAGTTCCGCCGATAAAAGAATTTTCGGATTGTTAGTTTTGAATAAATAAACTTTTATTTTTAAAGCAATGAGACAAATAATCTTTGTCTCATTTACTAAAAAAATTTGGTATATAATTAAATGTTAAAATATCTAAGTCAGTACATCTTCTCTGTCAGTTTTTCCAATTTGTTTAAATCTATACTTACGAAAGCAGTGCAGTTCTACGTTGGGCAGCATAATATTTAAAAAGGTTTATAAAATTTTAATATACTTACTTAAACACTAGCTCATGGGTATAAAAATTAATAATATTCATCCGTGTGTTTACGCGTCTATCCTCAATTGGAACGATTTAGAGCGATCACGTAACTGATCAGTTGCACATTAATACTAAAAATTATAGTGATCATTCTAAACAATTCCAAATGTGAACCAATTTAGTTACGAGTAACAGAGATACTAACAGAGTGGTGTGCTACTAACAAGTTTGGTAAGTTATGTAAATACAAAATAATGTCATGTCAATAAGTATATTGTACCGCTATATTTACTGCATGTATATTATTATTAGTTCAATCATTACTGCATTAGTTAAATAAATATAATTTTTCACAATACTGGTTTGTTATTAATCTTACCCGCCTTGCGCAATGCATGATTTAACTGATAAACGCTGCTTAAACATAATATTATGTAAACAATTCTTGTAAATAACGTGATAATGTAAAAGTTTACATTTATTGTAGTGTTTAATAGACACTACAATAAATGTAAATAATTTTAATTGTAAATAATATAATTTTTGTTGAGTATAAAGCTATTTAATATTAGATATTAATGTTTATAGTAGGTAGGTATATACTTATTGTATTAATATATAAAGTACATAATCGACGGTGGAAAGGAAAAACCCTTGAAGCGACAATTTTGAAATTGTACAGTAGAGCCGATCAAAGTTTTAATTTTCCGAAAAAAAATTATAAAAAATAAAAATTTGAAGTTAGAGCGACAAGATAAAAAAGTTTCTTTATTTTTTATTTACTGTCTACTATTAAACTTAGAAAAATATGCTAGCATGATGAAAGGATTTATGTGTCGCTTAATTAATTTTTGGCAAATATAGCGGAAAGAAAAACACATTAAATGCCAATTCAGTACTTTGACAAATGCTAGGAAAATCACATGAAGTGACAAGCTATGCATGATATAACTAGGAGGAAAAACAACTTAAGCGTATCGAGCATTAGATACATGGTTGTGGAAAAACGAATTAACTAACAAAACCTTAATATGCTAAGTAGAGGAAAAACACGATATGCACTAGCTATGTCATAATTCAATGTTGTATTTTTAACTCAAGTCCCTACTTTGTTTCCCAAGGATACCAAAAAAAAAAGGAATATAGAGATAAAACAGTGCCTTTTATTGTTTTAAACGCTTACTGGTACAACATTTCACACTGAAAAACCCCATTCCAATGGGAAAACAAACATGAAATGAAGTGTAAGTACATTACTATCTTCATGAGTGATCAAACAATATTATAAACAAGGAAAACAGCGTACCGCTTCTGTATTGCAAACATACATTGATCTTATAAACCTAACTTTCACTATTAGAGACTTTAACAGCCATAAATTCTGTATCAAAATATTTCAAATTACTACCTATTTCAGTCTTGTCTCAGTCAACGTTGCTAGCACTAAGTATACCTAAGTAAAATTGTGAAAACAAAACAATTATGCATTTGTTTCCGTATTGCAAACGTACTTTGAACTTATAAACCCAACTTTCAAAAATAGAGATTTTAACAAATATAAATTCTGTATCAAAATATTTCTAATCACTATTAGGCACCTATTTCAGTCTAATGACTTAATCAACATTGTTAGCACTATAAGTAAAATCTAAAAAAACAAGCATAATTAAATGATTAATAGGAATATTAAAATCACATACTCATACTATCAAATTTAAGGTTCGATGTTGCTTCTTGTACTATAAATCAATAGCATCCTCAATATCTGTTTCTGCTAACGTATCAATACCAACGACGTGAGGTATAATAACACATTCGTTGTGAAACAGTCTTGGTATGGCAAAACTCTCACAAAGTTTTATCAAATATTCATATTAACAGTAACTGGGTAAAGAGTTCTCGTAAAACTGTTTCACAATTTGTGAAGTTGGAGCTTTGTTTATAGATATAATTTCTTCTTCAGCATCAGGTAACATAAAGTATTTAACTGCCGTCACGTTCAGATTTGAATTTTATGAACGGCGGCCAGTACAATTCTATTTTTGTTTTGACCAGGGCAGGAATCCGAATACAGTATTAGATGTTTTACTGTGCCACATTCTTCCATCATTTGTATGTATTTTTGGATAATAGAACTTATTTCATTGCCTCCTCTCTTACCATCAGATTCTTCCCATATGTAACAGAAACCGTCTCTTGTACCATTTTCATAAAAGCAAACACTGTACATGGCATATTTTCGTAAATAGTACAAGAGCATACTCTCACCATGTGGAGTATTTAAAACCTTTTGCAGGTCGAATGACACACATGCCACATCATTGCGCTTTTGGGCGAGTTCTCGATGTTGACTGTACCTCTCTTTACTGGTTTCTTTTTCTTTCAGATGTTCCTCTTTCTGCGTTTTACTCTCTTCAGTATTTAAAGCATCAAATTTCATACATTTTATGCATTAATCCTTTTTGGGAACGCGAAATCCGATATTAAATTCACTCTTGAAAATATTTAAAAAGACTTTCTCACTGACCACGTCGACACATTCTAAAGTTTTCTGATCCTTGTAAATGCGATATAAATTTTTTTGGTTTTTAAATTCAACGGGTAAGTAAAGTTCCTTGAAGGTCCCTAATTCGTATCGGTCCGGAAAAATCGATGATGGTAATCGATTCCACAAGGAAGACGTCCGAGGAAGAAAACATCTTCTAAATCGCACAGTGGTGGACCGCCAATCATCCAGATAGTGTGGATGGTATCGGAAGTTCTGCCGCGATGTGCGTTTGTGAAATTTGGCGACTGGGATTAATCCGAACAATTCCTCAGAGCACTCCCCGTGGTAGATGCGAAAGAAAATGCAAAGGGATGCAGCATCTCTTCGCAGTGCCAATGAATCGAGCCGATCGGAAAGGACTCGGTCGTCGACGATTCGGGCCGCTCTGCGCTGGATGTGGTCAAGTGAAAGGAGCTGGCACTGGGGCGCCCCTGCCCAGAGATGGGAACAGTATTTTCTACGTGGTAGAGCCATGCTGCAGCTATATTATGGTTGTAGCACGAAGGGGTCGGCTCGACCGGGGAATGACCACGCTCTCACAGAAAACCAGCGTAAAATAGCAACTTAACGCTGCTGTGTTTCGTATGGTGAGTGTAGAGAACCGGACACCCTTTTTACTGACAAAGAGGCATTCCATCTTAGTCCTCACGGGTGACAACGCATCTACATCTTGAGTCTTTATTGAGGATAGATGTAGATGTCTATGGGTCACAGTAACCACTTACCATCAGGTGGACTGTGTGCTCGTTTGTCACCCGATCCTATAAAAAAAAAAGTATTCCATGTGAGGCCGAACCTGCGCCTTGTAAAGTTGCAGGCGGTGTGCCAGCATGTAATACTGTCCCGCTCTGCTGAGCACACCAAGCTTTTTAGAGGCCGATTTTGGCCTTCTCTTCCAAGTGACCATGAAACT